GAACAGAAGTGAGCAAACTGAATGAATGAATGGAAAATTGTGGGAACAATGGAAGGCAGAGCGTGTGAAATAGCCAACTGCTGACGATGATAATGATGTTAATGACGATGATGATGCCGATGATGGTGCTCAAGATTCAGATTCAGACAGCGTCTTAAGGTCTGTTTACTGTTTAGCACACAATGGCACCATTAAAGGTCGAATCTCACAGGCAAACTCGGCAAACTTTATATCATCAACACTCGCACACGCTAGCTGTCTCTCTCTCTCTCCCTAGCTCCCTCCCTCACGCTCTCTCTCTTTCTCTCTCCCTCTCTAGAGTCCATCATAATTGCCATTTTGAAATGAACTAAGAAAAACATAACTCTCCAATGGATTATGCACATATTTCTAAGCAATTTTCTTAAACGTATGTGCGAAATTTTCCTTAAGCTTTTCCATTTGAGTTCAAGGCAAAAGTCATGAAAATAGTTAAATGGAAATGGAAATGGAAATGCTACGTGGTTCGTGCTTCGTGCAACAGTTATGACAATGCATTGCCCCAAATGAGTTGGCATTTTAAAGCGTCTGCACTTAGCCAGGTTCAATGCTTCCAGGTGCCAGGTGAGGCACCCTTCAAATCATTATCCAACAATTACTTAGCTCAAATGACAAATTTGCCAACTTTCATACATACAAATTGATATTTTAATTATTGTATGATGAAGAAGAAACTCTTTTAATGCATTTTTCCACAAGAGAAAGCTCCAGTCGAGACTGTCCGACTAGCAGATACGCTGAAGTACGATCACACTCCATAGCAACCGACTATGCATAGATGTACATTTATATTTAGGTTTGTGCCCATTTAAAAGTCGAAAAATGCATGATTCGAACTCGCATCTTTTTTAAAATTTGTGACCAAAGCTTCGAAGCTAGAATCGAACCTTCGCCTCTCTTCAGCCACACGCATATGCCCTCCACCAACTGAATAGCTGGCAAGCTAAATGGCATCTTGAATTCAATCCGAAAAGAAATGCACATGCTTGAATTTGTGTGTGGACACGTGCAGGGAAATTGCATATGCTTGGTGCTGCGTGCCACGTGCTCTTGCCAATTGGCCAAGTTTATTGCATGTCTCCAGACTCACACAGATAGTGACAGACGGAGCCAGCTCGTCGTGCTAATCAAATATACATATATCTATACTTTATTTGCTATTTGTCACTAAATCAGTTAGCTATACTAATTTTTAGCTAAGCTATTGAACACTTCTTGAGGTTAGGTTTATATGTTATTAATGGAAGGACGACCTCAGACAGATCTAGCCATGTTCGACCACAATTTTGAATTTGTAATACATAACTGTACAGGAGTCTATCGGGATAAGTTATCTATGATCGATAACTTATCCCGATAGTAGTCGATAATTCGATTTGGACTTTCATTTTTAGTGTGTGGATTACTGGCATGACTGCTGAAAAAAAAACTCATTTCCCAAATTAGAGACTGCAAATCTGGATTTCAGGCTACTTTCCAGTCGTGCACTCCCGACTAGCGCACACTTCCTTGTTGTACATAAGACTCTTCCTCAAACCTCCAGCAATCTTAAGTTACTATTTGTTATTTCACTTTAAAAAAAGGTGATCTCTATAATTAAAAGCAGGTAAAACTAACATTTCCTAAACATGTCTTCAAAAATCTAAAAAACTTAATAAATAAACCTCCCCAATTGAAGTTCTCTTTAAGTGGAGATCGTAAAACTCGTGTAATGTACGCAACAAAACATTTAGTTGTTAAAATTGTGCGATTAAAAGGAAATCGCTTACAACGCTTTATACGCGGCCACGCCCGTCCAGCCCCCTCACACACACACACACACACTTAACACCTTACAACGACTAGGGACGGCTGTGGCTCAGTTTGTTCAACAATCTGCGGGCCTCAGTTGTATAGCTTATTAGTATACCCTGTACTATGAAATGGAGCATGTTGACTTCCGAGAGTGTGTTTGTAACTGACTCAAGCACTCACCTTACATATATATATATATTTTACATACACATAAATATTTTAATTTACATTAATTATACCATATTTGGAAATATATATATGTACATGCATAAAATTTTTTAAATAGATAGTCGTACGACATAACATGACAAGTATTTGTGTATGAAAGATGTGTTAAGAGGGTATCCTCTAGTCTTTCTGATGATTACTATATGTTTAATTTAAAAAGTTGTGCATACAGGGTATCTTCTGGGTCTAGCAACTAGAGCATGCCAGTCTGACTTGAGCAGCGAACAGGGTATTTTCTAGCCTTTCAACGCAGCTGATGATTTGTATATGTTTGTTTTGAAAAACTGTGCACAGAGGGTATCTTCAGGGTCTATCAGCGCGCAACTAGAGCGCGCCTGTTTAATTTTTCTTCTTCACTTTGGCTTTGTGCCATTGTCTTCTGTTTGTGTCATTTTGCTTTACTAACTTGTCCGTCGTATCAAATTCACCTAACTGACTTTTAATTGTGTGTGTGCGTGTGTGTTCCTGTGTGCGTGTGCGTATGCATAGGTCTCTGCTGGAGCCACGCCCCGTCGCTAGCTCACCCGTCGCGATGTGACAAAAGCTACCCAAAACCGAAACAGAAACTGAAACTGAAACTGAAACCGAAATGGAGTCCCATTTAGTTTCGCGTGTAACTCAATTTATGGCTGTGAAGTGTGGCTCGCAGTCGCTTCTTCCCTGGCCAAGCAGGGTATTATAAATTTGATCAGTTATTATGCGACAATAATATAAGGTATATATAGGCTTATATATATTAATATTCGTGATCAGTATGAAAAGACGAGACGCATACATAGAGTATATATTAATATATAGTATATTCCTGATCAGCATCAATAGAGGAGTAATGCACTTGATCACTTAGTATGTGATCTACAAGTAGAGGAACGATAGTCGATTACTTCATACCTATATAGATATTCTACCTGAAATATTCCTAAAAGAACCGTTCCAAAACATAAACCAGCTCAAAACACTGTATTTAGATGGTAAGCCACTAGGAAATTTATATTAAACATTAAAATCGTAGACCTGAAAACAAAACTAAGCCACATAGAAGAAAATTCAGCCTTCGGCCTTACACAGTTAAGAGTTAATTTCATTTTAAGTCAACGTATGCCACGTGCAACCCGGAAAAGTCTAGATGTTTACCTGGCCCATGGCAAACGTGATATCTTCTGCTGTAGCGAAAACGCATCTGCTGCAAAAAAAAAATATTATGCAACATTGGATTTGTCGACTCAAATAACTGTTTGCTGTCAAGCTCACCCTAACGAATGATATAATTGCCGTGTGTCCAAGTATCTAAGACTCCAGGCTCCCGAGAAGCTTTAAAAAGAGCTTTTCATGAATGAAAACTCTTGAATTTGCATTGATAGTGGGGAAAGGTATTAGAATTATGGCTAGCGGTTCGATTTCGATTTATTGGGCAACTATTTTCAAAGAGCAAATAAGAGCAAAATGTATAAAATGTTATATGAATTTAGTGTTATTTTATCTTTTTATTGACATGCACTGCAAGTGCACATGACAAACGAGATGTAAGCTGCTTTAATGGTGATGTTGTGGCATGCGCCGCTAAGCGGATTTCCGTTGTGTAACAGTTGCTTGATTCTTCCTGCGGCACATGTTCACATAAATAGAGCTGACATTTACAAAGAAAGCCCGATACCTCCGCTCCCCGCCATGTCGTCTATCGATATTTATTAATTACAATTCGATAGCTCTTTTGTATTTGGCCAGCTACAGCTAAAAATAGCTGGCAACGCCTAAAAGGCTGCCACATCGCGTGCATAAGCCAATGGGCGGAATGCGTTATGTGCGACCTTCTATTATGGAACAAATACCCAACTGGCAACTGCATACATACACACCATCGTATACATATACACATACGTATCTATTCGCACACACACACATTTCTGTCGCTCTTTGTGATCAGCTCTGGTGTGACTAATATACGCGCCTGGGCCGTACTTGCTGTGGGCGGCGTAACAGAGACGGCAACAGAATAGCCATTCGGACTACAACCCGACAATGAGCCAGCAGCAACGGCGGCAGCAGCAGCAACAACAACAACAGCAATGCGAGCAAGTCACGTGGCTGCTATGCGTGACATCGTAGTGCACATTTTGAGGCACATTCGTATTCGCAGCAAATGCTCAATTTAGCATTGGATAAAGTCAACGTGCCGCCGTAGCCGATGCCGCCAACGAAGTGACCCCAACCCCTGGGCTGGACCCCCTGCGTGGCCAGACTGTCGGGGCGAAGCAATCACACTGACAGCAGGGGCTACCACGAGTCAAAGTCCCGTTTCCCATAGACTATCCCAGCAGTAGCCGCAGAAGCGACTTCAATTTTCTGTTGTTGCTTTGATTACGCGTACAAAGCTTAACCCTTAAGCGTGCAGAAGGGTCACAGGATCAAATTTTGCAAGTTTAGCTAAGGAAAAAAATTAATAATAAATAAAAAATATTAGGAAAATTTTATATTTGATTTAAGAGGTAATTTTATCAATTCAATCAATTTTAAATTCTCAATACTATAGTTAATGGCTAGAGCATGTATATTCGTATTTATTGTGGACCTTGATATAAGAAACTAAGCACTAAGTAAACGAAAAAGTGCCAATTTAGCTAGTCAATTTCATTATTGAGCTTTGCGGCTTAAGCGACCTGACTACTGGCCGCTACAAGACACATTGAGCGTTGCATCAAGGGTTAAGCTCAGAGCTCACGAAAACTATGTCAAGCCGAGCAATGCCGACTGCCAATGTTCCGAAGAAGAACGCACGTTGTGGCGGCTGCTGCGACCATGTCATGTGTTTGTATGTGTGGGCACGAAGCATGCTCACCCAGGTCGTGTGTGTGTGCATTTTTGCAAAGCTTGGCACGCTGGCGCCGCAATGCGATTTGTGTCTCTTAGCTATGGAGACTGCCGTCAGTATTCGTGCGAGTCTTCAACAAGTAGGTCGAGAGCAACGGGCAGAACACAGTTTAAAATCTTGAATCAAGCTAAAACTGTTTTAAGCTAACGCAAACGGTATTGAACTACATAAGCATACATACGTATCAATATTTGTTTGTTTTTTTAATTTTTTTTTTTTGTGATAGTGCAATAATTAAGTATATGCTACAAATGAATATATGTATTTTAAAAGAAAAAGTGAGTTTCGCACAGACATACATGCATATGTCTTATTCATATGTTAACTTCATTTGCAACGCGTAGATCCGAATAGCGAGAGCGCCAAAGAGAGCGTAAGAGAGAGCAATTTAACTGAACGATTGCAAAAACAAAGTGCAAAAGCATGTCAAAACAACAGCAATGGTTCCTAAGATTTGTTAGTGGAGAACAGAGCGAATGTTTTGATTATCATGCATTTGTATAGTTCTGCGTATGTGTGTATGTTAGTGTGTGTAATGGAAAGCTCAATTGAAACTTACATAAAGTGTGTTGTTGTCAATGCCTACGTAACATATTTACTTTAATTGTGCACTTTTTATACACATTGTCCATACGAATAGGGTATATTATTTTTGAAGCATGTCAGTCTGTTTGGTTATGTAACTGTGAAACTAGACTATATATATATATATGAATATATAATTATTTATTATGCAAATACAAATCATACAAATTAATAGGTATAAAATATTAAAATATACAAATAATAAACTGGATTATAGTTACTTTAAATATTTATATAGTAAAGTATTGGACATATATGTACATATATATAGAAGGGGCTTGGCAGTATAAAATATACGGTATACCCTCCAAACAATTTCATGTACATGCATAGTTATACATATGCTGCAGCTGAACTGTGTGAAGGGTATCACGTAGTTGTTTACGTTAGAATATAATATATCTGCTGCCCTTGCTGCAGTTAGGCTGTGTGAGTGTGAGAAAAAGAGAGAGTGAGAAAGAGAGAGAGATAGCAACCAGACCTAACTCAGAACGGCCAGACTAGCGGAAAAAACAAACAAACACACAGTTACATATGCACAATTTCAATATATGTATATACGCATACGCACTGCATGTGAATTGCGGTAGTCCCCTAACAACAGGGATAGTTCCGAATATTACACATACGCCACATTGTATTTATATTGTTTCAGTGGTTTTTGTTTTTCGTATATGCACAATATTGATAGATTTTTATTGGGCAATCAATCAAAATTAGCGCCACATAAATAAATACAAAATTAATAATTTTATTTATTAAGTTTAAGTATTTAAGTTTATTTTAATTATCAAAGCACTTAAGAAATACAATTATTTAGAAAAACAATTCAAATTTCTAGCAAAAGGTGGCTGATGATGAATGTGGAGAAAAAATGTTGTGATTAAGAAATAAAATTCGATTTAAAAAATTTGTTTGCTTTTTTAATTTCGATTCAATGCGAAAAGTTTATGCCTCGGAATCATATTTATTAAGCGTTTTTTGCTGAAGTCTTACATAATATTTGTATATGAAATATTAGATAATGCTTTTATTCCTGTCTGGCGGCGCAACAGTTCCCCCAAGTCGAAATAGGATATGTTTTCTTTTAATTTTAGATATACACAGATACATACACATGTATATGTGTGTATATCTCCTGCTAGCATTACGTAATGCAATGGCTTCCTATGATTCGCTTGCGCAGTAATTTTCATAAATTGAATACGAACAAAATTATGAAATTTAAGCTTTAACCAAATTTCTGCAGAATATTTACTTTTATTCTCTCTCTCTTCTACAAAAGATCTAGCAGCGCTACTTATAATTATTTTCTCTTATAATTTGCCTTTTGCCATGCCGGCATTTGCTCATACTTATACGTATAAGTGCCGATGCCACTGCATTTGCTTGCTTGTTATACGTATACATACACGTTTACGTACTTATGTACTTATACATTGATTTGCTTCGGTATTTGTTTTGTTTGGCGTTCGACTGCATAACGGTATCCGTCAGCAGTGGCAGCTGTGGCTGCAGCTGGAGCAACACGTGAGTCTAGTAACAATTAAACGTTTCTCTCATACACACTACGCTCTCTTGTCATCTCTGTTACACTCGAAATTGGCTTGCACAATAGATTTTGCTGTACGTTAAACGTGACGGCAATTGCATTACGTCGTCTCTTTACGATGAATCAACAAGAAATCTACTTTAGTTATGCGATTGCTAAGCAATTATTGATTTGGTTTTATAATAATTGAAAGTTCATCGAATTTTATTTGCTTTTTTTTATAATTGTAAATGAATTTTTAAGTGCCTTATTTGTCTTTATTTTTTAATTGAAATTTTAAAAATAATAATAGTATTTCAGTTTAGAAGATAGTTTAGAAAGATAGTCTGAGAGACTTGATAAAGACTTTCGATGCAAGATAGAATTTATCTTAAATATATAAATATTTATATATGATACGAAATATACGAAAAGTTCTTTGAACAACTGAAAATGTTCACAAATGTTTCAATATTTTTTAGATTATATAGTTGATATTACGTCTTATCATTGCCAACCTTTCGGGTGTCAATTATAGAGTAGTTTCAGCTAAATAAATATTCATATTATACTTTCAGGCGCACACAACAATTAAATTGGCTGAAAAGCTTTACGAATACTTTTGAAACTTTCTAAAAGTGATTTATTGAAGGAATATTTATTGAAATGGAAGGAGAATCGACAGAATCAACACATAATACCAAGGTGTCCGATTCGGCATACTCCAACAGCTGCAGCAACAGTCAGTCACAGCGCAGGTAAGTCGAATGGAGCGATCCCTCTGCTCCCGGCATACCCTATGCTGATGCCCTGTTTCGATCTGTATCTGTAGTGGCAGCTCGAAGTCGCGTTTAAGTGGCAGCCACTCATCCGGCAGCAGTGGCTATGGCGGCAAGCCCTCGACTCAGGCCAGCAGCAGCGATATGATCATCAAGCGGAATAAGGAGAAAACGCGTAAGAAGAAGAAGGCGAAATGCACGATCCAAACAACGACGGTCACGTCGCTGGAGAACAAAGATGAGCAGTTGCAGCCAAAGCCCGGAAGTTCGGTTGGCTGTGAGCAGCTGCAGGAGTTGCAGGAAACGCAACAGCTGTGCGAGCCGCCGGCAAGCGATCAGCAACAGCTGAGCGAACAGCTGCTCACTGTGGATGACAGCGAGGCGACTAAACAGCAAATCGATCAGGTCCAACAGCTGCCCACGGCTGTGCCCCTCTCCTCCAGCTGTAGCCTGCAGCCGGGCAATATTCCAGTTGCATCGAGCCATGGCCAAATCAGCGGCAGCAGCGGCTGCGTCAAGTCGGACAAGGCATACGAATCGTTGCCGAGTAAACTGGAATCGATGGCAGCTGGCGTGGGCAAGCAGCAGATCCAGGAGCGGACTAAGGAGGACAGCTTCTGTTGTGTCATCTCTATGCACGATGGCGTTGTTCTGTATACCACGCCCAGCATTACGGACGTCTTGGGCTTTCCACGTGACATGTGGCTAGGTCGTTCGTTTATTGATTTTGTACATCTGAAGGATCGGGCGACATTTGCCAGTCAAATTACGACAGGCATACCCATCGCCGAGTCACGTGGCTGCATGCCAAAGGATGCGAGAAGCACTTTTTGTGTCATGCTGCGACGTTATCGGGGCCTCACCTCGGGTGGCTTCGGTGTGATTGGGCGGGCTGTCAACTATGAGCCTTTCCGTTTGGGTTTGACATTTAGGGAAGCGCCGGAGGAGGCCCGACCGGACAACTATATGGTATCCAATGGCGCCAATATGCTGCTCGTTATCTCAGCGACGCCCATCAAGAGCAGCTATAAGAGTGAGCTAATACATCCTCTTAAAGTGGCATCCGCTTATACATATCCCCCTGCTCTTTCTATTTGCCTCCAGTTCCCGATGAGATTCTCTCGCCGAAGAGCCCCAAGTTCGCCATTCGACACACGGCGACGGCGATCATCTCCCATGTGGATAGCGCTTCGGTCAGTGCACTCGGCTATTTGCCACAGGATCTAATTGGTCGTTCAATTATGGATTTCTATCATCACGAGGATTTGGCGGTCATGAAGGATACCTACGAGAAGGTCATGAAGAAGGGACAAACCGCTGGCTCTTCATTCTGCAGCAAACCCTATCGTTTCCTCATCCAAAACGGTTGCTATGTTCTCCTCGAAACGGAATGGACTAGCTTCGTTAATCCCTGGTCGCGCAAACTGGAATTCGTTGTGGGACATCATCGTGTCTTTCAGGGTAAGTCGTAGAACAAACACGTCCGCTAGGGATCCCAAAAGAAACAAGAACAAGAACTTTAGAGGGAAGAGCTTTAGGGATAAGGACAGATATTACTAAAAAGAAGCTTACTCTAAGGGTGTCCAAGATGTTGCAAAGAGAGATCCTCGAATAAGTCAGACTTTCTACATAACTAGACATAACTACCTCAGCAAAAATATATCCCAGAGCTCCATAGGAGCCCAGTTATGGAATTAAAAAAGATAGACCCAAGGTAGCTAACCTCTCCGTAGGATCGCACTTGTCGACTCAAGAGCAGTTCAATCTAGATAGCCAAATCTGGCTAGGTAACTTCAAGAGATCCCAATTTGATAGGTCTATAAGTGAAGCCTATTACTTACTTGCTTCATCGCGTAATCGTCCGTAGGTCCCAAGCAGTGCAATGTATTTGAGATGGCGCCAACTGTGAAGCCAAAGATATCGGAGGATGCACAAAATCGGAATGCGCGCATCAAGGAGGATATTGTTAAGCTGCTGGCAGAGACGGTATCACGTCCATCGGATACCGTTAAGCAGGAGGTGTCGCGTCGCTGCCAGGCGTTGGCCAGCTTCATGGAAACGCTGATGGATGAGGTGACGCGGGCTGATCTCAAGCTGGAGCTGCCCCATGAGAACGAGTTGACCGTGTCGGAGCGTGATAGCGTGATGCTGGGCGAAATATCGCCGCATCACGACTACTATGACAGTAAGAGATCAACTGAGACGCCGCCCACCTACAATCGGCTTAACTATAACGAGAACCTGCTGCGTTTTTTTAACAGCAAGCCTGTCACCGCGCCCGTGGAACTCGATCCGCCCAAAGTGGAATCATCCTATGTGAGTAGCGCCCGGGAAGACGCACGCAGCACTCTGAGTCCCGTACACGGATTCGAGGGTAGCGGCGGCAGTGGATCATCTGGAAATTTTACAACCGGCAGCAATGTCCGGATGAGCAGTGTAACAAACACTAGCAATGCCGGCACCGGCACCTCGGCCGGTGACAATTCCGCCGGCGGCAATGGCAGCGGCAATAGCAACAGCGCCCCGGCCGTCACGGTTACCCTAACTGAATCGCTGCTGAACAAGCACAACGATGAAATGGAGAAGTTCATGTTGAAGAAACATCGCGAACTGCGCGGACGCAACGGCGAGAAGAGCAAGAAATCGGCTAACGAAAAGATGTTCGAGTACACGGGACCAGGACACGGGCACGGCATGAAACGCGGCGGTTCTCATTCGTGGGAGGGCGAGGCCAACAAGCCCAAACAGCAGCTAACGCTCCCAACCAATGTGGGTGTTGGCGTCAGCGTCGGTGTCGGCGTGGGCGTGCCCGTGCAAGATACGCTCTCCAAATGGCAGACACCGAACGCGCCCAACAATCAGTTCGTTCCGGGCAGCTTGAATTGCGCACAGAACATCAATTTGTGGCCGCCCTTCTCGCTGGGCATTACAACGCCCTCGGGGCACAGGAGCCACACGGCTGTGGCCCAGCGCAGCTTTTCGCCGCAGCATAGTCTCTTTCCCGCCTTCTACTATATACCGGCACCGTTGGCCAATGCCACGACAGCGGCGGCCAGCGTCACTCCGCAGCGCAGTCACAAGGCCTGCGAGCAGCCGAGCACCTCGCAGCAGAGCGCAGCAGCGACGGCAATGCCACTGCAGTATATGGCCGGCGTTATGTATCCGCATCCGTCGCTCTTCTATACGCATCCAGCGGCAGCTGCTGCCACAGCCATGATGTACCAGCCGATGCCGTTCTCCAGTGTCACCAATACCCTGCAGCTGCCGGATCGCTCCAGTGGCTCACAGTCCAGCTACACACAGCCTGGCTATGCGGTAAGTCGGCGAATCCTCATCTCTATGTTCGTCCGTGACTTTTTTGAATATTCGCATTTCGTTACAGGCACAACAGTCTCCACCTGCTTCGTCTTCCAAGACACCGGGCGCCTTCCATTCCGTGACGCCAACACATCAGCAGAAAGCCTCGTCGCAGGCGACATCCGTTAAGGCGGAACCTGGTTCCAACTTGGCGCCATCGGATACGTCCAAAAAGGATATACACGACTCGCCGATAGCCTCGGTCACCGGCGAAGGCTACTCCTCCGATCAGCCCAGCAATCCGACCAATCTAAAGGTGCAATCCGCTTATGCTCGCCCACGCCACAAATCAAATTCTGCTCACACAGCTCTTCTCATCTTATTTCCTAACAGAAGTACACGGACAGCAATGGCAACAGCGACGACATGGATGGCTCCAGTTTCTCCTCCTTCTACTCGTCCTTCATCAAGACAACGGATGGCTCCGATAGCCCGCCCGATAACGACAAGGAGACCAAACATCGCAAGATCAAGGTAGGCTCGATAAAAGTGTTGAAAGCTATAGAAGCTTATATAGCTAGGGAGGCAAGGTCTTCTGGACCTCTAGCTCCATAAAACTTCCTAATAAAGAGCTGGAAATGAATTTAAACTTCCCTTCTTGCAGTCCGTCATGCAGTCGGATAACAAAATCGTGGAGCATCCGGAGGAGGATCAAACCCAACACGGCGATGGATAGCAGATGAAGGCACAGCTGCAGCTGTGCCCGTTGCTTAAAGCCAGTTGCAGCTTTTAATCGAGCTGCACTTTTGGTCCGGTCCAGTCCAGAGTAGCCCAAAACGCCACGCTCATTGAATGTCCAAGCACTGCTTAGGTGGGTAACAGCTCCTAGCTCTCCCTCTCTCGGTCTCTCTCTCTTATGCTCGCTCTTTCAGAGTTTTCCATATGCATGTGTAACGCTCTAACTAGACTTGTGTTGGATGAAGTCGAAGATGCTTTCAGATCTTGAGATGCAAAGAAATGTGCTCGACTGGGCTGATACCCTGTGACCAAATATGTAATCAGCTTTTGCTCAAAACACACTCACATCCACAAACTATCTATATACACATATATAAATTTTATACTTAAGGCTGTGTTTGTTAACGTGGCTTCACACTACGGAACAGTTCCTAAGTAACTTTCCATCTAAGAATATACAAAGTTTGACGGAGCTTAAATATACGCAAGGCTCTTACCTTATAAAACCAAATAAAAACCCAGATATAGGCTTTCATTTTTGGGCTAAAGTGTGGGCGAGGAAGACGAAACTAATCCAAGGATCGATATTTATCGATTGATTTATGTATTTTCGACTGTAGATACTAAATACAAATTGTATACATAGATATAGATTAGTCCTAGATCCACCCTTGGAAATGAATTCAAGACTGTCTACAGGGCAACTACTTATCGATCACACACAATCGATCATTTATATGTTAACAAAATGCAGATCACAGTTAATCCCATCTATAATATTCGATACATGTACAGCTATATAAATTTGTAGAAGCTAAGAAGGCCGTATTAATTGACAAAGAATTCATCGTACGGCAGCTTGTCCCAGAACTTTTGCAATGCAGCACTATAGGCACGATCGGCGGCTTCCAATATCTTTGGCTGTATGTCCTTTGATAGGGCGCTCCACTCGTCGTTGAGGACCTTCAGAGTGCTGTCGCGCAGCTCCACGTTATCGTTGAACAGATTCGACATATTAAACGAGCCGCTAAAGTATTTAAAAATAACATTATTTAGATGATATAACTAGATCTATGAGCTGCATAAATATGCCAAGAAAATAAGAAATTTTGATGAGCTTATGCGTAAGTAACAGAAGGTTAATCTAATCAAATAACATGCACTTGCACTTAACATGAGGTTGGGCATATCAATGTCAACTTGCTTATAATATATATTTATATATAACATACTTAACTATAAATTTAACTCAATGTTTACGATATATTTGATAAACACATACCATAAGCTTCAACTTTCCTTACTAACTTAACGTGAGGATACACTTAACACGAGGATATCTCCATGTTAATTTTGCTATATACTTATAACTCTATTTTGACAGCATATAGCTTATGTCTAAGAGCTATACTCTCACTTTAAGCTTCAACTTTAACATGCTCGCCCAACATGAACTTACAACTAACATGAGGATAACTTCATGTCAAATCAACAGCCTGTTAGGCCCACTCTGACTATAAATGACGTGAGTCTAAACGCCATATTTTGTCACTTTAAGCTTCAACTAACATGAGGATAACTTCATGTCAAATCAACCGCCTGTTAGGCCCACTCTGACTATAAATGACGTAAGTCTAAGCGCTATACTCTCACTTTAAGCTTCAAGTTGAACATGCTCGCCGAACATGAGCTTTAAACTAACATGAGGATAACTTCATGTCAAATCACCAACACATTTCGTAGACTTCTAATAAGTCAGATCTCACTTAGAGCTGCAACTTCCACTTGGACACTTCACATGTTAAATTAAACATGAGGATATCCTCATGTCAATTATTTGAGCTGTACTTACGAGCTCACTTTGGCGGACGTCTTGTAGTCGGTGATCTTGAGATAGGAATGTCCGTCCGGTCGCTTCTCGGGCACAGCATTGACGCGTGTCCTGGACTGCAGTTGACTCAGGCTGATGACCATCGTGCCCTTGCTAACGATGGGCAGGATCAGTAGCTTGCCATCAACTTCGTAGTTAGCGTGCACTTCAATGCCGGGCGAACTGGCGAGCCACACAATATTCAGTGGCTTGGTCAGGTCCTCAGTGAAGCCCTTCAGGCTCTTGACGCTGGCTCTATCGGCGAAGTTGTGCAGCGTCGTGTTCCGCATGATCATATTGAACTGCATCGAGTCGCTGCCGCTGCCGATCTTGATGCGCAGCGTGCCCAGGTGAATGGGCTCAATGCTGGGCACATTCCAATCGGGTATGCCATCCCTAAAGTTCCGGAAGAATATTTTCACCTGCTCCAAAATACAGGGCTCGTCCTTCACACTGCAGCGCTTCAACGGGCTAGCTGCAAGCAGGGTTTGCAATGAGCTTTACAAGGCACCCGAACCAACCACTGACCAGCGAAACTTACGCAGCAAATCCCCAGCACTGACGGCAGCCAACAGAGCAGCCGCAACTGTGAGCCATACGAGATGCTTTCCGTCCGACATTCTCAGTGTTTGCCTTTGGATCGGCGACTAAATCGCTGCGAATGCGTGCGATGCGTTTTTATAACTGACTGCCTGAGGCCTGAGTGGCTGACGGGAGCCGAGTTCGGATGAGGTGTGCACGTGTTAATTGCCATTAGCCAGGCAAATATAGAATTAATCGCAGCAATTTGAACTATGAACCGGTACGGTCATTAGCTACTCCCATTGCCTAATAGTTGGACGAGTACTTAAAGTGACAAAACAAAAACCATAAATTCTATTTGAATATTTATTATCAACTATAGTTAATAGAGCGACATCAAAACTTTAATTGCCCATACCGAAAAACTCGTTTTTCCCCTGCTTAACGTAAGCTAGGGTATCTGATAGTCGTGCAACTGGAATTGAAAGTAACTAAAAACTTCTCTTAGCTCGGCTCTCACTCTCTCTTTATCTTCTCTCTCTCTCAATCTTCTCTCTCTCTCTCTCCTCTCTCTCTCTCTCTCCTCTCTTTCTCTCTCTTCCCTCCCTCTTTGCTCTCTCTCTTTCCCTCCTTGCCTCACTTTCTCTCTACCCCTTCTCCCTCCTCTCTTTTTTCTCTCTCTCTCTCTATCGCTCCTCCTCCACCTCCCTCCTCATTCTTTGCCTCTCTTTTCATCTTTCTGTCCCTTTTCATCATTGCTCTCTCTGCTCTCACATTTCAACGATTTTTACAGGGCATCTCTTCGTCTATCAAAGACTAACTTGCGTATTTCATTTGTTTTAAGCTCGCATCAGTTGTTAGGGGTTAAATGGCAAGGCGCTGGACATTGTCATCGCCTGTATATAGCACATATAGTATATACTAGACCAGGAATACCAGATAATAATACCAATATTTTTTGAGTTATGCAGTTATTATAAACACGCTTCAAATCTGCTTATAAATTAGTAAATTGTGCTAATTATCGAACCTAATTAAAGCACGATTTAATTAATATAATAAAACATTTTAACCTTTCGTCATCTAAACTTAGAGAATTCATTGAATTTAGGCTAAGGTGAACTGCACTGTTTGATCAAGCTAAGTAAAAATAGACGAAACTTAATTAGAAATTATGTTGAGGCTTTGCAGGTATTCTCTATAATATGACCTATAAAAATATGGCTTATATATATTCAGTATTCAGATAAATATGTATATATATTTATATGCAACTTTCCTGCCTCGAATCTTAAGGCTAAGGTTTGCTCTATATTTTTTATATATATTTTTGTATACCCTAAACAATATTTAACAAATCCGCAAAAAGCTGAATATTCTATAATTAGACTCAGTTTGGACTGTTTGAAATAATTTCTTTATGATTGAAATTCATTTGTTAATAGAAAATAGAAAAAAAGAGTTCGATTCAAAATTATATAAAAATGATATCCAGCTAAACCTAAGATTCAGTGCGCCAGAGCAGTTAAAAGATATGCCAAATCATAATTGGGAATCATTTCTATAAGCTTCACGTTTAATAAAATTTTAAGCAGTAAATTGAACAGATCAGCGGACTTAGTGTAGGGTGCATAAATCACACCGGGAATTAACAATGATTTATTAGATAAGAGAGCACAAATTTTGAAATTACACATAAAAAGATTTATTCAGGAAAATGAGCTACAAAAAAAAAGTTACCTAAATATTAAAAGTGTTTCGCACTTGAACCGTTAGAGAGGTGCTTAGCAGGTGCTAAGGTGCAGCTGAGCAAGTTTTTAGCCGCGTTCAGCGTGCTATTAAGAAGCGCAAACAGTTAAATGAGAATTATGGATATTATGTTCTGAGCTATTGAAAGGCTAATTGCTGTATCAATTAAAAATATAAACAACTTTATTTACATTTATTGAACGGGAACCAGCTGGCTAACGTGCGGATAGAAGGTGGGTAATTGAAAGGTGTTCGATAGCAGAGAAGTAGCAGGAGGAGGATGTCAAGCTGGCGGCAAAGTTGTTAAATGTGGAAGTGTGATCGTCCTCGGCTCTCTGTTCAGCTTGGCTAGTTGTAGGCGATGCGCTTTAAGGTTTTGTTTCATCTGTGCCTAGATTCCGTAGCGATTGCTCAAACTCCACCGAGTCCACCTGACGTTTAGCTGGATCAAAGGGTGGCGGACCAATTAGATTTACCACCTCATCATAATCCAGTGTCTCCTTATCCAGCAATGCCTCCGCCAGCTGTCGAGCGGCACACAAAGAGAGAGAGAGAGAGATAGTTAGTAAGAGTATGAGATAGAGAGAGAGAGAGAGAGAATATTGTTGTTATTCTTGCCTTCTCCAATTTGTCGCGATGTTTGGTCAGCAGTTCCTCGGTGGTTTTGTACGCCTCGGAAACAACGTTGCGTGCTTCATGGTCAATAATGCTGTCCATGGCACGCGAAAAGGGCTTGGAGCTGCCGCTAGCGCCGCCGCCGCCAGATTCATTTGAATCGCGCACGTAAATCGGACCCAGTCTGGCGTTCATGCCAAATTTCTTAATCTGCGAATAGGCTATCTTGGTGACCTTCTCCAAGTCGTTCTGGGCACCAGTTGTTATGCGATTGAAGACCAAATTCTCGGCTGCACGTCCACCCAATGCCATGCACATCTTGTCGAATAGCTCCTCCTTAGAGTATAAATGCTGTTCGCTGGGCGTATATTGGGCGAAGCCCAAGGCCAAACTTGTGCGCGGCACAATTGTCACCTTTAGCAAGATATCCGAATTGGGCAGCATCCAGCCAACCAGAGCATGTCCACTCTCGTGATAGGCAATCACCTTGCGTTCGGTGAGCGACAAGGCATGCGAACGCTTCTCGGTGCCACCTGAAACAAGCACAGATTAATTGATCTGATCTCATAGAGCTGAATTGTTGCCACGCACCCACGAGACGCTCGACAGCGTACTCAAGATTTTTGCTAGTGACCTCTGATTGAACGCTGCGCGCCGCGTGTAATGCCGCCTCGTTGCAGACATTCGCAATGTCAGCGCCCGAAAAGCCGGGCGTTAGGCGTGCCAAACGCTGTGAGTAGGTGCTGGGCTCTTCTGCCAACTTGACCGCTGACAAATGCTTCTCGAATATCTCTTTACGTTCCTGAAGCGTTGGCAGATCAATGAGTATGTGACGATCAAAGCGACCAGGACGAAGCAAAGCCTGCAACAAGAGCAACGAAATCAGTTCAAATGCACTTTGAAGTGCCTAAACTATCTCCCACCTTATCGAGTATGTCTGCTCGATTGGTGCTAGCCAGCATAAGTACGCCCTCTTTGGTGGCCATGCCGTCCATTTCGACTAGCAGTTGGTTAAGTGTCTGCTCGGATTCTCCGGAGCTGCCTTGGCCCATGCTTTCGGTGCCGGAACGCTGTCGTCCAATAGCATCGATTTCGTCTATGTAAATGATGCAGGGTGCCCGCTTCTTGCCTTCCTTGAACAGATCCCGCACGCGTGCAGCACCCAAGCCGCCAATCATTTCAATAAACTCGGAGCCATTCATGCTAAGGAAGGGCACCTGCGCCTCGGTGGCCACCGCCTTGGCCAACAAAGTCTTGCCACAGCCCGGTGGACCCAGCAAAAGGGCGCCGCGTGGCACCTTGGCGCCCAATCGCTGATACTTTTCGGGTGTCTTTAGATAATCAACAAACTCCTTGACCTCCTGTTTGGCTTCACTGAGACCAGCTACGTCGCGAAAGAGTACGCCGCGGCCACCATCGAAGGGATCGACGAGCGTAAACTTGGCCCTGCCCATTTGATTCTAAGGAATATAGAAATCAAAATCAAAATCAAAATCAACCAATCAAGACACCGAGGCATTGCATCAGAGATTACTAACAAATGAATCCATACTGAGCGGGCTCTTCATGCTCTTCATACGCGTCGCTATAGACATGAGCAGGGCGCAAAAGAGTAACAGCATCAGGATGCGGCCCGTGGTATCTGTCTGCCGATCATAGGTGACTGGTATGCCGTCAGTGATGCCCAAACGCTTCTCCACCACACGCAACTTCTCCTCGAATTTGTTAGCATCCGCCACAGCCATGTGGAATATGGTAGAGGTTACTTTGCGACCCTTAATCACAGCACCATCGTGCAGTATTATCGTAACCATTTCCATATCAGGGCGTATGATCAGTTCTTTGACCTCGCCCACGGCTAGCATATGATGGACAAACTCATTCCAGGAGACGTAGCGTGTGGAGCCCTCTGGTCGTTCGGTGCGCGGTGTTATAAGCAACGAGATGAACGCCACAAACATATATATGGTAAATAGCCATAAAACCGCTTTAGTTAATACCGACCGCATTTTCTCATCGTTTTCGTTGTTCTTGTTGTTATTTGGATTGGATGATTCCTCGCCGGAGCCAGAACTGGATCCGGAACTCAACCTGGACCCATCTTCTTTTTCTTTGATGTCATCAGAAGTTTTCTCGCTGCTTGCCTGACTTGCCTTGGATCCTTTGGCAGATGTACTGTCCGCCACGCTGCTCTTTTCTTCGCTGGTTTTGCTGGCGTTGCTGTCAGATCTACGAGGCTTGTCAGCTTCTGAATCTGGCTTGCGTGAACAGAAGCAACGCATATGTAACTGCTGCACCTCACGCGGTGTTAGTTGCAGCGAGCGTGCAACCACGCCTACAATTGCTTTATACTCCGACCGCAGCATTTGCATCTGTGTGATAGCCAGAATGTATGAAGTTGCGTTAATGTCCTGCACTGGGACGCACTACTTACCTGTCGCCAGCTTAGTGGGTGCAAGGCGGGCGTGTTTAGCTGCCGTTTCAGGTTTGCGGTGCCGCAAGCCTTGCTGGCCACTTGTGTGGCAGTGCCAGCGGCTGCAGCTGCAGCTGCGGATGGGCCGGCATCGCCATCGGCATATAGTATGTAATTGTGCGTCACGTAGCCATGGCAGCGAGCCAAATTGTAGGGTCCACGTTGCAGCACAGTTTTGACATGTCGCAAGCCCCTGAACATAATTCCCAGCCACTTTTATTATGGCTACTTGTGGCCGCCGGTTCGAATACGTAACTTGGTGTTGTTTGCTTGAAATTACATGCATTAGAGTTGCCACCCCGGCGCAAAAAGCGGCTGGCCTGTGACAGCAGCGCTCAATCAGCTGTTCGATGCTGTTGGGGGGGCAGTAAATGAACTAATAATTTTTCATAAAGTTGTCATTTTGAAAGCCACATTGTTATTTTTATTATGAATTTGTGAGAACTAATGTCTCCGAGGACTGCGAACACTTCTTATTGCATTTGATAAATAAATAGAGTTGCACGTTGTCGTTGCACATTTATAATCGAAAATTTTGTATTAACCCTTATGTAACCTACATGCCAAAATCTGTTGTTCAACACATTAAATTCATGTTTATGTATAATATTATATCGACTCCAAATATCTCAGGCTGTCAAAATGAAAAGCAATCAAAAGGTCCTATCATTTAACATAATGTATATATATATTTTTCTGTTTTATTTATATATAAAAAAAATACATAATAATAATAATAATGCTATACAAAATTACTTCGTACTACACAATAATAATGTCACTGAATTGAGTAGCTAATTTGTTAAATGTTTTTGTTCCTTTAAATTTGATCGCTGTTATCAATAATTACTATTCACTGAGCCATCAAACGGACCCATACTATCGCCAAAGTCCTGCATTTCCTCATCGATTTCATCGTCAAAGTCATCGCCCAAGTCTTTCGTCTCTGGACATTGTCGACAACGACTCTCATTGACACCATAGTTAATGCACGTAGAGCCCACGCACTCACAGCAGCTATCGTGGAACCATCTGAAAACAAATGTTTTTGTAATATAAAAACTTGATAATCATAATCCAAGTATGGAAATTAACTCACCTACAACTGCTAGCACCCATCGTTTGACAGAATTGACGGCATTTATTTAGAGACACGCACTGATCCAAATATATAACCGTACAATTGACTGTCTTCGTATTGTCACGTTCCTCATGAGCCTCATCTAGATTTTTGTCATTATATTCTGCGATAAAGATATATTAGGTATATTCATTTCTAGATATAATATATTACTCACTTAAATAATATTTCTCATCTTTATCCAGTTTTGGTTTACCCCTAGACCAATCCACTTGGAATGTGAAGACATCCCAATATTCACTTTCACTATCCTCCCCAGTGGCCAGCACATCGAATAGTTCCGGAACGCCCTCAAAGTCCTCAACGTGTGATTTTTTGGATAATGCATTGCGCGTTTCATTTGGTTTAGGACATAGCTCTGCAAATGATATCCAAAGTTATCCAAAGTTGTGACATAAGTGTTAAAGTTCGACTATCTTATCGACTTTGCAAGGGCGGCTCAACTATCGATAGCCCTACAAAGTGCGATAGCCATAGTTACACATCTCAAATACATACACACATGCATATATATATATATATATATATATATATATATATATATATATATTTATATATATATATATATATATATATTATATATACAAACAAGGCAACTGCGACAACGCAATAATGAATAATGATAATGTCACACTAGATCACATCATCAGATAAATATGTATAAACATATGTAATTGATTGAAAATAACTCACCTACACAGCTGCAGCACTCCTCATAGTATTTGATGCCCAGGCATTTGAGGCACTCCTTGCAGCAGGAGCAATTCTTAAGCTCGCATTTGCAACTCTGCGTCAACATGCACTTGGACACTATCGAGGCGCAGACGACTTCGTTGCACGACTCCACCACGCCATAGAAGCATGCAAATCCCAACAGAAGAAATGCGCTAACCGTTAGCAAACGCCACACCTCCATCGTTATATATGTATATATATTTTATATATATTATTGCAAATACAACTGTTTTCTTTTTGTTTTGTTTATGATAATAAGGGCCTCCACACACTTCTTTTGTGGTGGGTGGCTTGGCGGTGTATTTGAATTGCACACGAGTAACACTGACAGAATGAGCGAGAGAGAGAGAGAGATCGAGAGAAGGAAAACGCAAGCGACACACGCCGATAGTTTGAAAGACTTTGATTGATTGATTGACTCTCGACAGAGTGACTGACTGATAGCTCGCAAAGCAATTACAACAAATAACAATAAAAAAATATATATGTACACAAAATATAAATAAAAACAACACAATGCAAACAATTGTTAACTATTGCTACACATAGAGAACATTACAAATATATATATATATATATATTTGAATACATATATATATGTGAGTTTATATTTGCTATATTATATTTGATAGATACATAGAAATTGAATTTTGTAGCGCGTTATTTTTTGTCGTATTTGCAGCACAAGGCACAAGAACAAGTTTTGGAATGAGCTATGAATATTTTACTAAATCATTGAATAAGTCAGTCACAGCGCGTAACAACAACAGCAAGCGGCGGCGGTGGCGGCGGCAGCAGCAGCAGCAGCTACAGCAACAACAATAAACGACACCACGACAAACACTAACAAAACGAAACAGAAGACAAACACACACAGCGATCAACGATCGACAGATGCGAAAGAGAGGCAAACGACGATGACAACGACGTCGTCGACGAGACGGCGTCAGCTATGTAGCTTGTTTTTGTTATTGACGCGACGCAGCAGGGCATAACTGTCTTTATTTTGTTGTTGTTATTGTTGTTGTTGTCTCTCTCCTGTCTTTTTCCCAACCAGGCCCAAAGGCTAGCCAGTTAGTTAGCTAGATACAATGCGCGAATTAAGCGCGCGCGCAGACACACATACACATACACAAATACACATGTGCAAACGGTGGCTTAGAGAAACATAAACACGTTATGAAGCATTGTTGGCGTGCGACGAGGGGAGCAGTCAGGACGCGAGTGTGAGTGCGAAAGCGAGCGCGTTCATTAACTGAATGATGGACTACCGCAACGAGATGCGAGCGAACAACAACAACAAAAAACAAAATGATCAATACACACATCAGCATTTAGATCTGAAAGGTATTCGATTGGAATGCTCTGAGCAGAGTGTGTATGTGGGTGTGTGTGTGAGTATTGTGATTTTGTTACTGTGTGCAAGCCGCGTTATCGATGTCGATTGTTTTAAAGCCGCATTATCGGTATTTGTTTAATGCTAATCGAAGACATGTGTGATTTATTTCAGTATTCATATGCTTATATATAATAACAACAAGCTGACAGACACAAATATACAATAAATACTTTTGAACATTTAATGGTATATCCAAATTTAAATATATGCTTTCTAGTTATCTTATCGGTCTCTTAATGTTAATGAAATGCTTAAGACTTTTAAATAAGTCAAAAATGAAATTTAAATGACTAACAGATATTAGTTTAAATTAGTATGTCAGCAGAAGCTTAAATTTTTTAATATAAAAAATTCTGTCATATATATGAGACAAAACAGCTGTTGGAGCCATCACCCAATGTACAATAACAAGAATATTCGAAACAGCTGGCAACCCTGCGTGAGCTAAATAACAACAAAACGAACCGCTGCAGAAAATCGCTCAAAATCACAAATTAAACACAACTAAATGATTGTGTTTAGAAACTGTGCAGTGCTTCTGGTGATTGCCTCAATATGCAGTTTCTTTTACGGCATTGTACATGTACACGTCGAGGTGGAGCCGAACGCCTGTCGAATGACATACATGTTTGGTGAGCCCAGATTTGCGGTAAGTTGTGATAAGAGATACGTTTTGAATATCTGATAAGCGTTAACGTATATATACCTATTATTATTGCCTTTTTTTATAGCGTGTGCAATTTAGTGCCAATACACAATTTCCCAACTATGGACTCTACTACTATTATGAAGGTGTTCGCCAGCCACTGGATCCTCTAAAAATGCGCATGACTGGAGCCCCGGTAATCTTCGTGCCCGGAAATGCGGGCTCTTATAAGCAGGTGCGCTCCTTGGCATCGGTGGCATTGCGCAAGGCACGCGAACATCCAGAGGCAGGCATACATCTAGATTACTATACAATTGATTATGATGAGGAGTTATCGGCACTCTATGGCGGCTATATGTATCATCAGCAATCATTTCTCAAGCACTGCATACGCACCATTGCCTCGCTCTACCGTCGGCCCAGCCCAATTGTTCTAATTGGGCATTCCATGGGCGGCAAGCTGGCTCAGTCGGTGCTAACAGATGCAGAAATTGGTCAGCACATCAATGCCATTATCAGTATATCGACGCCGCTCGACCAGCCGGTGCTCAATTTGGATTCGCATCTGAGCCAATTCTATATGGAGACACACGAGTTGCTCAGTCGCACCCGCACCGCCACACAGCCGTCAACCAAGACGAATGTATGCGAGAGTCTGCATCAGAAACCTCCCAGCGAGCAGACAATGGCCAGCCAGGTGTTGTCCGCTAAGCTGGACAATGTACTACTCATTTCCACGGGAGGTGGCAACCGAGATCTGCTCGTGCAGCCAGGCCTAACCACCTCGCAGTTCAATGATCTGCATGCCATGGCAAGAACCAATAGCTAAGTTTTGAATTACTCTCTACTAAATATGCTCCTTCCACAGACCTCAGCTATACCCCGTGTCAGTCTAAGCTGCGATCACTTGTCTGCGGTGTGGTGTCTACAATTCATGCAGGTCATCAACCGCTTCCTCTTCAACATTGCCCAGCGACGTGACGACGGCTTCGTCATCTTTAGCAGCAACAAACAGCGCAATATGCAATCTGCAGTAGCACACTTTGTGGTAAATGAAATTGGCTTTTCACTCAATGTGCTGTCTTAACTCATTTTTGTATATTGCAGAAACCAAGAACACGTCAGCAGAGCCTTACGAACATGCACGCACATACTAATTGGCATGAGGAGCGTCGATTAGTCATTAACAAGTTTTTTGCTCATGGCCTAAAGAGTCATTATTATGAGCTGATTGGCTTGGGGCGGCAGGAGCGATATAAGGTAGCATCTAATGTTTTAAGTCTTAAAACAGCTGTCGATAACTGTTCACAAAGCGTTAAAAGATTATAACTATTATATAGGCTTACAAGTCTGTGAGCAGAGTACAAAGCAGTCGGAATCAACTCTAAATTCTCTTTTAAACCTCTTTTGGTTTCTTTCAGAAACTTGCCGTTGAGGCTTTGAACGTTGAGAGCGATGAGAATTGGCTCTTCGGCTGTGAAGCACATAAGCACAATGAAACGGAATTAAATTATTGGTGAGTGTGCACACCCATCCAAATACACACACACACAACTAATAATAATCCTTTTGCAGCGATAAGGCAACGCCTCTAACACATCTCGTGCAGCGTCTACCCAATGGGGACAGCAATCCGAGAAGAATTGCAGTTCTCGATTTGCATAATCTACGCAAAACGTATGCGAAGTGGACGCACTTGCTGTTGCGTCTGCCGCCGAGCAGTCAACTCGCTGGCTACAATCTGGACATCTATGATCCCAAGGATCGCATTGTGGACATACGTATGCCGCGTTGGTATGCCTATGGCCGACGCATTGCTGTCAATGAGACACTGCAGGGCACCATGCACTATCGATTACGCATTGCCGATCTGGTAGAACCCTATCAGGGTCTGCGCATTCACATTGAGCCACAGAACTGTTTGCAACCCAATTACCGGGTTACGGCCCGACTGTGTGTGCCCTGGGCAGCCGGCTTTGAGCGTTACCAAACGCTTACGTAAGACTTATTGTATTTATGCCATATAATGATAGGCAACTGCTAATCGCTTGCATTTTCAGTTCACCCGATCAGAAACCTGGACTTTATATCAATGTGCCCACCTTGATGCCTAGGCATTATAACACCACATTGAATCCAGTCATGCTCGACTTGTATTTGGATCCTATATGCCGGTATCGCATTAGGTAAGACCAATATAGCTAAGGAAGTCCAACTTTGAAGATTTGCAAAGGTTTTTATATTGCTGAAGAGTAGTTGAAGGTTTCATAGTTATTTCATCGTAAGAAAATATAAAATGAAAGACTTTAAATGCCGCAAGAAATCTATCTGTGAAGTCCTTTCTCATGTTGAGAAAATTGAATGATAATTTCTTATGCATTTTAAAATTAGTTAAGCTTCAAATCAGCTTCATTTAGAAACGATTTCTAAATTGTTTTTTTTTTTTTCAACTATAAACAAAGATTTCAACTTGTGATTGGAGAACTTTAAAGCTCTGATCGAAAGTGTTATTTTTATTCAGTTTAAACTTTAGCTCATCAGATATTATAATGGATTTGTTTCAGCTAAAAAGCAATTATAGACTTAACTATATATGCCTCTCTCGCCCTCTCACTCACTCTTTTCATCTATCTCCCTCTTAGCTATGAGTATTCGTATGCTGACGCCTTGTCTCGCATTGTGCTGGAATTCTATGGCTGGATACCAGCCCATTTAGTTTGTGTGCTGCTCATCGTGCTGCGCAAGCAATTGGATAAGTTTCAAGAGCTGGGCACCTTCAAGAGCTTGCGGCCCTACATTGGCTACCTGCAGTACACATCGCTCTATGTAGTTACGGGTAAGGTCATATGCTGTGCCCATTTAATTGATATATTTATATGAAATTTCTGTGATTCGCAGGCTGTCGTTTGCTCAGAAAGTTGATACTGAATGTGAAGCTATTGCCGAAACCGGAGCAGCTGGACTATAGCATTAATATATCGATAATAATTCATTGTGCGGCCATTGGGTTGTCGGTTGTGGCCGCTTTGGCTGTTTGGCTATCCTTGACCATCTATGGCAATATGTTCCATCGTTTGGCGTTGCGTTTGACTCGTCTGTCCACGCCCAGCTCGAACATAATGCTCTCGATCATGACACATCTACCAATCACGTACGGCATACTGACCATTGGCGTTGCATTGGGCTCATGCAGCGGTCTGGCATTGCTCTTGGCATTTGTTTTTTATTTCCTAATGCTATCGAATTCGTACAAGGACTATTTGGAGGACTTTTTATGGCAAAAGGCGGCTAATTTAGTGCACATGGCAGCGGGCATTGGCAGCGACGCAAACAGCCAAAATCAGGATCAACCAGATGCATTAGCTAACACCAGTGAACAGTCGCTACTGTCTAGTGATGAGGATTTGCCAGCACCGCACCCTGACGGGCAACAACGGCAGCAGCAACTGCAGCCTGCCAGCGATCCGGCTGAGAAGGAGTTATGCGTTGGCTTGCAAAACTTTTCTTTTCACATAACACTGCTGCTAATGCTGCTCACACTGCTGCTACTTAGCACACCCACTAGCTTGGCCTGGCTGCGCAGTCGCAGGTGAGTCTGATAATCTTTGGATAGATTTCGATAGTTATCATATGATGCAATCGTTTACAGGCATGGCATTGTTCTGCCCGATCCATCTTTGCAGACGAGCATTGTGGCCCTTGGCTCACTCAGTTTGCTGCTTCAACTGCGGGCGCCTCAGAAATTGTAAGTGATCAATGGCAAAGGCGCATGATTGTATTGCTCGAGCTCAACTTTGCCAAGCTAAATGGGCAGCACTTTTTCAAACGGTATTCCGTTTTGAATGGCTTTGCTTTTACCTTAGTTACTTACATTTGAATACCAGTTAGCTTACGTACGGAAAGAGTCTCAATGAGAGTGTACACGACTAGTAGATACCCTTTAACAAATATTGTACTGCCTTAAATACGAATGCATTGATAACAGAGCGTTAAAAGCCAGAAAGGGAGAGAGAGAAATATTTCAGATCAAGTTTGTTTCAAACATCGTATGTGGATCGAGTATCTCCTAGTCGAGCAGTCCCGACTAGAGTATTCTTTCTTGTTTTACAATATCATATATTTATATATATATTAATGTTATTATATATCTAGGCCTATACCACTATAGCTTTACACTTTGTGCTGATATGGGAGCTGCTATAGGCTTTATATCTAATTGCAATTTACAATCTATCTTTAAAAATGTGTTTCGTTATAGACGAGGCTATTGGATGCTGTCTGTCGTATTGTATTTGTGCGCTGGAATTGTGTTGCTCTATTGCCAGACGTCTATATATCGACTAAACTATATAATCGCTGGAGCGTTTGCCTTGCTCGCCGTGCATCAGAGTCTGGAAAGACTATACCAGAAGCTGCGTCCCGCATCTGTTTAGAATTTATACAAAAAGTTGTCATATGTATGCAGTTTATATCTAAGAAGTTTTTAATCTTTTACTTTATGTTGTTTCGTTACGTTTCGTTTCGTTTCGTTGACTTAAAGAGAAACCAGATTTTTGTTATAGACTTAGCCAAATATGTAATTGACTCTGCAAAAGGATGTGACGGGAAGTCCATAACGATCTGCTCTACAAATCTAGCCTAAATGGATGCAGCGAGCTAATAATATGAAAGCAAGAGGCAGCTGACAAAAAACTCACTCCATATATTTGTGGCATGTGTGAAAAGTGAATTGCAAACTACACTAAGCAACATAGTCGAGCTGCTCGTTTCTTAGCTTCGAGTTGAAATGTTAACCAAATATTTAGTTAGCTTACAATTATTTGATGTGCTGTACTTTAACGTATTAGATCGTAATATAAGGCTACAATTTAAGATCTAGACCCATTTAGACCCATTTAGTAGTTGTAGTTCAGAAATTTGTATATCTCTTAACTAGCTAACCACGTTTCAGGCCAACCTCCTGTTACTCATTAAGTATTTGTGCTAAAGCTTCGATTTTTAGCAAAGGTATTATGTTCTTCCTGTACTTAAGCAATAAATATATAAATATATATGACAATTGTTAACTCTATGAAATCCTCTGCAATTGCTTTCTGAAATTGTTGATTGAAAAACAGATTTGAAATATATTTTGAGCAGATTCTTATATTCTTAGTTCAGTTGATTCAAGCTGCCTTGGCTTAAGTTTTATTTCAAAGTTTGTATGAAATTGAAATTGAAAGTTTGATTGAAGCAATTTTTTAGGAAATTCAAAAAAAATTGAAGATACTTAAATATTGATTGAAGATATATACGAAATTGAAATTGAAATTGATTCAGCTGAACTGAAGTTCTTTGAAGTTAAAGTTGAATGAAATTGATATTAAAATTGAAGCTTTTTAATGCCTGGCTGAAATTATATGCTTGATTGAACCGATGAAATTGAAGTTTAAGTTGACTTTGACACATTGATTGAATGAGAAGTAATTGAAATTAATTCGATTGAAGCAAATTGGTATGGAGCTGAAACTGATTGAAGTTATTTGAAGCCGAAAACTTTCGAAATTGTTGAATGCTAGCAAACGATATGAACTTCAGTGTATTTCTAGTTCGAGCTAGTTTCAACTAACCAAGCCAAATGCTGTTGCCCAGTGTAAATGCCAACGCTCTACTTGGACAATCGTTGGCCTACAACTTTTTCGAACGTCTCGTCCTCAGGCAAATGGCAGTCAATGGAGCTGATGGACTGGCACTTGTACTGCAGCTGGAACTGGAATTGGGAATTGGGAACTGGGAACTGGGCAGCGGCAGTGGCACACAGACAGGGGCGTTCACCGTACGCCTTATAAACGGGCGTTTTCAAAAAATGGTCAACTGCATGAAGCGATTGGCTAACGATTTATTGAATGAGCGTGCAAATTGATTCGGAGCTGGAGACTCTGTCACCTTAAAGGCAATTATGTGCGCATGTTTGCATTTTAATAGGCAAACTGGGTGTACAACACCCTGGGGACATTTATTGGTTGATCGATTGATAAATTGCTCAATTGGTTAGCGGCTTTTTATGAGCTGTCGACATCGCTGAAGTATTAACAGCTATTAACTGAAATTTCACACTGGATGGGTGGGGCAAATGGTGGGAGAGAGTCAGAGGAAGAGACAGAAGAACAGGAGATGTGGGTAGAGAAAGAGGACGAGCTCAAAGGACATAATCGAGAATGAGAGGGAGAATGGCAGGGAGAGAGAGATAAATATATAGGGAAAGTCGCAGAATCTGGTAAAAGAGGCAAAGGGGGAGAGAGAGAGCTTAAAGAGAAAGAGCTAACACAGCCGATATAGAATAGAAGTAAGATAGAGATAGAGATAGAGATAGAGATAGAGATAGAGATAGAGATAGAGATAGAGATAGAGATAGAGATAGAGATAGAGATAGAGATAGAGATAGAGATAGAGATAGAGATAGAGATAGAGATAGATAGAGATAGAGATAGAGATAGAGATAGAGATAGAGATAGAGATAGAGATAGAGATAGAGATAGAGATAGAGATAGAGATAGAGATAGAGAGATAGAGATAGAGATAGAGATAGAGATAGAGATAGAGATAGAGATAGAGATAGAGATAGAGATAGAGATAGAGATAGAGATAGAGATAGAGATAGAGATAGAGATAGAGATAGAGATAGAGATAGAGATAGAGATAGAGATAGAGATAGAGATAGAGATAGAGATAGAGATAGAGATAGAGATAGAGATAGAGATAGAGATAGAGATAGAGATAGAGATAGAGATAGAGATAGAGATAGAGATAGAGATAGAGATAGAGATAGAGATAGAGATAGAGATAGAGATAGAGATAGAGATAGAGATAGAGATAGAGATAGAGATAGAGATAGAGATAGAGATAGAGATAGAGATAGAGATAGAGATAGAGATAGAGATAGAGATAGAGATAGAGATAGAGATAGAGATAGAGATAGAGATAGAGATAGAGATAGAGATAGAGATAGAGATAGAGATAGAGATAGAGATAGAGATAGAGATAGAGATAGAGATAGAGATAGAGATAGAGATAGAGATAGAGATAGAGATAGAGATAGAGATAGAGATAGAGATAGAGATAGAGATAGAGATAGAGATAGAGATAGAGATAGAGATAGGATAGAGATAGAGATAGAGATAGAGATAGAGATAGAGATAGAGATAGAGATAGAGATAGAGATAGAGATAGAGATAGAGATAGAGATAGAGATAGAGATAGAGATAGAGATAGAGATAGAGATAGAGATAGAGATAGAGATAGAGATAGAGATAGAGATAGAGATAGAGATAGAGATAGAGATAGAGATAGAGATAGAGATAGAGATAGAGATAGAGATAGAGATAGAGATAGAGATAGAGATAGAGATAGAGATAGAGATAGAGATAGAGATAGAGATAGAGATAGATAGAGATAGAGATAGAGATAGAGATAGAGATACAGATAGAGATAGAGATAGAGATAGAGATAGAGATAGAGATAGAGATAGAAATAGATAGATATAGAATAGAAGAAGTATGAGAGAAAGCAGAAGAGCCTGAGCTTACACTATGTGTCCACGCAGCCAGTAAAACGTTTACAAATATTGCACTAAGAAGACAATGACAAAGACTTATATCTTAGGATAATCGACTGCTGTCAATCGAGGTAGAGCAAGGACATACTGCAAAGAGAGATAAATAGACTGAAGGCGCCTGAAGAAATTCACAAAGTCTTATGAGTCTACACTATATAAAGAAATATATAAATAAATATAATATGTATATATATTATAGTAAATTATAATATATTTTAATATAAATTTGTATTTTCAATTGATTTTGTTTCGAATCTCAATCATAAACTTGGACTAATATTCAATATTTTTAGCTTTCTCTTTTGTAGCCACTACTATTTTAATGAACAACTATATTTGGTTAATTTTACTCTCTTAAGTTGGGAAGCAACAAAAACCTTTAAATGAATAATAAAATATGTTAATCTTACTATTCATTTCACTAAATTGTGTTGTATTTAAGGCTCGCACTACTATTTTTATGAACACAGCTATATATACTGGAGCAGAGAGAAAGAGAGAGAGAGAGGGAGAGGCTAAGATAATGAAAGGGAACAAGAGTGATATATAATATATATGTGATACGAAAAAAGCCTCTAAATATACAACTGAGGTAAAGATCGATCCATATATAGACGAGATTGGGGATTGATTAAGAGAGGGAAAGAGCGAGCTAGCTATATGACAGATAGAAAGAGCGAGAAAGTAAGCTACCTAGATATGTTTTAAAAACTGAAGAATAAATGCAACAAAATAATATTTTTTTGGATAAGTCTAGTAATATATTTATTCATATTTCAGATATAACAAAAAACAAAAAAATAAAAAAAAGAGCGCATTAACTATGCAGCTGAGACAACGTGTTGAACATTGAGCTATTTACACTTATATGGACACATGTGATCGTTTAAAGTATGTGTAGTATATAGTACAGTATCGTATATATAGTATGGGGTATACATATGTGGCGCACATATCGTTTCTACTGCCAGTTGCTGGGCACGAACTGTACGGGATTGGCCAGGAAAGGCGGCGGCGGCAAGGTGTTGATGCTGTACGGAATAGAGATTGGGATTGGAGTAGATCAGATCGATGGGAGATCGGAGCTGGTGGGCACTCACCTCATGGGCTGGCTGGTCTCGGAGAGGATGGTGCGATAGAAGCGTGGACGTGGCGCCACATAGTTGGCGGAGGCAAAGCTACGTGGATTGGCCACGGGGAAACGAATATTCGTATTCGAACGGACGGCCGTGCGTTGACGTCCGATGCGGCCGAAGCGTGCCTGAGCAATTGCAGCACTCTCGGCAGCAGCAGCCGCACCACCACCGCCGCCGACAGCAGCAGCACCAGCACCGGCAGCAGCAGCACCACCGCCACCACCACCGAGCGCACCGCCAAATGTTGGCAGGCCAGAGCCGAAACCAAATCCAAGGCCTGCCCCGGGAACGGGCGCCGGAGCGGTATACATGGCGGACAGCTGGATGGGCACGAAGGCGGGCAGCGAGACGGTCAGTGGCACAGCCGGTGGTGCAGGTGGTGCGGGTCCAGGTGCTGGCGCTGGTGCAGGTGCTGGCGCTGGCGCTGGCTCTGGCTCCGGATCTGCTTCAGGCTCTGGCTCTGGCTCGGGCTCTGGCTCCGGCTCCGGTTCGGGCTCCGGCTCTGGCTTCGGTGCCGGCTTCGCATCGGCCGCCTTCCAGGCAGCCAACAGAGCGAGCACCTCATCCCGTGTGATGTGGTTCGAGCGTGGCGGCAGCTCAAAGCTGGGCGCACTGCTCCAGCCGCTGCTGCTCCAGGGACCAGGTGGCGGCAGTCCATAGAGCGAACGCTGCACCCGGCCAGGAAACACGAACTGAGCACTGGCCAAGCCGACGAGGCTAACCAGAAGGATGTGTAGACACATGTGATTGCACTTAAGTCCCAGCATGTTGATTACAGTTCAATGAGCGATGCTTGTCTGCGCGCCAATTGTCCAGACGCTGGCTTATATATGGCCACCAACTCGAATTGGGTTAGATGAAGTCGTCGCTGGCTCCGGAAGCGGCGTCCAGGCCAGCTGGCGCTCGATCTCGATCTCCCCCGGCCGCCCCTCCCCGCCTTCCGTCAATTGGCATTGGCATTTGGGCAACTGGTTCAAATGATTAGGAAGCCAGCGAGAGAGACGCAATAAGCGTGCACCATTTAAGGCTGCATTGCATCACAAGCAGAGCAAGCAGTCAGCAGACAGCAGGCCAAACTGGTTCTACGCCTCAGCCATGTAGTGCAGTGTATATATATGTAATATATTTTGCTTATTGTTTGCCCGCTTGGCAGGCCCAGCTCTTTTCATCCTCATGAAACTGTATGAGCACCAGCTCGTAGGTGACGATGCTGCCAGCGACCTGAAGCGGAGAAGAAAAAAAACTATTGCGAATGGCACTTGCATGGCGCTGGTGGCGCTGGTGGCGCAGGTGGCGAGCTAAGCTCGACACTCACAGTCAGGCAGAGCTTCCTGGTGACGTTGAAAAACCGGAGGCCGCTCAGCGACACATTATCGCTTGACAGCTCGTTGGCCAAGCGCTGCACCTCGCTCTGATAGCCACTCGGCGGCACCAGATGCAGCAGACGCAACGGCTCCCGCGCCCGTTCGTGCACCGCGGAGACGAACAACAGAACCGACAGCGAGCGGCCAATCAGAAATGCGAACGAGAAGTAAAAGTAAACGGCATGCACAGCCGATGGCATTTTGCTTAAGGAAGACCATGTAAAACAGAGAGAGAGAGAGAGAGAGAGGAGGGAGGAGGGAGGAGGGAGTGGGAAAGAAAGTGATAATTATGGTTTACAAACTATTATCAGATAAGCTGAATGCTAAGCAGTCGACGTGTAGCAGAGATTAGACGTGTTAAAACATTTACGTATAGCCAGAGAAAGCATATGGGAGAGAGGGCGAAAGAGAAGAGGGCATGAGATATGCTATGAGAGAGGCAGGTGAATAGAAAGGAGGTAGATTGAAAGGCAGGGAGAAGACTGTGGACGAAAGAAAGAGGGAGAGGAAAGAGATATAATATTTTAAGAGAGAGGAGAGAAGAGGAAGAAAGAATCACAGAGAAAGGGATAAGAAAGCGAGAGAGAGAGAGAAAGAGAGATATATAAAAAGGAAGACAGAGAATAAAGAGGCAGAGAGAGAGAAAGTGAGTGATGATAATAAGAGAGTCAGACAGAGAGGAGGGAGAGATAGAAAAATATACTAAGAGTGAAGAGAAACTATACGAAGAATAATAAAAAAAGAGAAAGAGAAAGAAAGAGAGAGAGAGAGAGAGAGACGATAATAGATAGAGAAGGGAGAAATAGGAAAATGTACTCAGAGTGAAGTGAGACTATAGAAAGAAAATAATAAAAATAAAGAGAGAGGGAGAGAGAGAGCAAAAGAAAAAATTAGGGGCGAGAGAGATGGAGGAAGACAGAGGGAATGAGACAGACAAAGAGAGGCACTAATAAAAGAGGCAGAGAGAGAGAGAGAAAGAGATAGTCGAAAAGACGCTCTCTATCCCTATATTCGTATGTATAAGAAAGATGAAAAGAGACAGAGATAGAAATATATACCAACAAGAATTACAAAGAGATAGCTAGAAAGCAAGTAGAAGAAGAGAGTAAGGCAAAGTAAGAGAGAGAAAATGAGAAAAGGCAAGGCTTAGACAAGTGCCACTCACTTGATGCTCTTCAGCAGCTGCAGACAGATAAAGTACAAATTGGAGCCAAAGGATATGAACACAATGCCGGAGATAGCATCGTCCACCTCATAGATGAGCTCCACAATCGAACGATAGCGAGTGCGAACATATGTCCAAAACTTCTCCGGCATGGGCTGTAAGCCAACAATTAGCGGGCTAAGGATATGATGGTCTATGCAGCATGTAGGACACTCACTCTCTGCACCAACTGCTGCAGCTGGCACGTGAGCCGTGAGAGCAGATGACTCAGGCCGATGCCCACCAGTATGACAAAGAGATCAATGTAGTTCCAGCCAAAGGTGAGCAGCACATTCAGTAGCTTGCCCAGCCAGCCAAGCCAGTTGCTATAGGGAAAGACGTGAAAGAGCTGGCGGGCAGCCGCATAGAAATACGATTCGATTGGATCCTGCCGCAACGGGCAGACTTCAGGATAAACGGCTGAGATGATGCTCAACAGGTGTTCCACTGCAAGCAGGAGAGCGAGATTCTCAATGATCAGAAAAGCATGTCACAAATTGTTACTCAACTGAGCGAAAGCGAGAGCAGAGCGAACGCCACGCTGTGCATGCGTCGAGCCAGTTGCTCTCGTCCCTGCCAGGTGACATAAGAGGGCAGCTGCGTCTCCACTCTCGCCCAGCGTCGCATCAGTTGGGGCCATAGGCGGGCCAATTGTAGGAATTGATAGCTGGCCCACAGGATGCTGCCATGGAAGACGATTGGTTCTGCAAGGGAAAAGCGATTATCGTTGAGATACCCTGTAAACCATTGCAGAATGGGGCATGATAATTGCCTGCCTACGCATGTAACAGGCAGCTGCAATCTAGTTGTAGCTAGAAACTTTGAGATTCGTTCGAAATTTGAAGACTCAGCAGCGATATATATCGATTATATTAATGGAGTTTTCAGAAAAAAAGATCTTACTATGCAATCAAGTCTTGATAAATATATAAATTATATAGAAATATAGCCAGCCGTCTATATAGATATATTATCGATTTACATATGTGATATTTGCCATATCAGAGATATGTATTCAGCTATAACCTATGCTGCTTGGAATATGATGCTTTATAGCCCTTGTTTTAAAATCGATAATTATCGATCGAATAAAAGTGTTATATAAACATATATATTTCTCTTTGTTGCTCCTCCTCTATTCTCTATCTTTTTACCGATGCATATGCTAAATAATACATATATCTATCTGATCATACCTGATCATACCACATTATTTTGACCGTCTCAATTGCTTCTCGCCGCCTGTTACAAACGTCAGCTAAAAATCAGCATACCCCATGGTCGTGTACAGTTATGTTATGCTACCCACCCACACTGCGCACATCCAGACTGCCATGCAGTGCCAAATTAATAGCGAGCAGCGTATCGAACGAGATGGAGCCAATGTAGAGCATACTGTACCAGGTGCGCCAGCTGCGACGGCTGAAGCAGAGGCCGCGCGCCGTTGCCGCTCGCACGCCACAGACGGGCATCAAACCGAAGCACTGCGCGATGACAAGCACTGCAAAATGGTGGAAAAAGTCGGGGCGATGCGGCGAATGAGACATTTTCAATAAAAAAAATGAAGCCAAATATTCGGCTGCAGCGCTCACCTGGTGCCACGGCCGCATGAAAGCTGCCGTCATGCAAATAATTCCTGTTTGCTGCCTGCCACGGCCAGCGCTGACGCCGCCCCAGACGCTTAAGCAATGCGTGGCGACAATGTTGTTGCAGTTGCTGCTGCCGCCGGCGACGTTGTTTACTTATTTGAATAGGCCACATGAATGCTCGCGCATTTCGTTCATAGCGGTACTTTGTCAGCGCTGGGCTAATTTTGAATCTTGATATATGGGCGAGCGAGTGGGCGGTCGTCGATTGATTGTTATCGCAGTTAATTGTAATCGACACGTGTCCGGCCCTAACGATTTTTAAATTGCCAACACTGTGGAGTGATTTTTGCAGAAAACGGAAACGCTCAAAATAAAAGAAATAAAATGAAAAACTTTTCTCGTGCAGTGGCTTGCAAATTGTGAACGTCATTTCAATTTCTAAATTGAAACTTGAAAAATAAAAATTAATAAAAAATAAATAAAACAATTTAAATTAGCTGTCAACCATCCATCCGACTAGAGTAACTTTTTTGAGCGGCAGCTATTGGATATGCTCCACAGTGCGCTACAAATGATAAAATAATGCGAAACTAATTCTGTCCGCGAAATTATGACGTGCTCAGCTCAGCTAAGGCTAAAAAAATATAATATATAAAAATAAAATTGAGTATTTTACTTGCTTAATTATTTAACTGTTTTTATATATTTTATTATGTTTTAAATTAACTTGAATTTAGTCATAGATGCAAGCAACTGCGACCTTAATTTCGCTTAGTGTAGAATTATATATATTATATATATATATATATATATATATATATATATATATATATATATATATATATATATATCCAACATAACTGTTAGTTTTATAATCTGGGATGCTATGTGGATTATGCGTTAAGTAAATCAGTCGATTAACTAATTATGTTTTAAGTGTACAACAGCAATAACGAGTCAAAAGTGGGTCGAGTAAATGAGTAAATGATATTGTCCAGATTCCGGGTTTCACTGGTTTTTTTATTTTATAAAAATCTGGATCTCGATCACGATTCGGTCGCATAAATACAAATGTAACTTTTGTTTGTTTTTTTTTTTTCAAACTGGATGCGGATGTTTGTTTGGAAATTGTAACGGATCAACAGGCAAACGGGTAAAATTGTTGCATCAACACTTTTAATAGATGCTGTGCAGGTGCACATAATTGTATTTGTTGTAATTTTTGCAAAATTATATTTTTGGCCGTTAACATTTGAATAACTGAGACATTCGATTGATGTTTAATTTAGCTGATTTAATAAGCAGCTGGTCACCCTACTGTTAATTATCGATCGCACCTTCAGTGCTTAACAGTATCATTTGAGAACAACAGCAACAGCAACAGCAACAGCAGCTTAACATCAACTCCCCGTTAACATCATTTGTTGTTGTTTCGCCGCTAGGTTCGGACGTGTGTTGTTTTCTCCTACGCTTAAGCACAAAATTTCAAATCCAAATAAAAAAAACTTCGATTGTTGACAACAAGTGGCAAACCGTTATTTGTGTTCGCTATAGAAACAAGAGAAAGGGCAGAAGTGCAAATTTGAGTGAACAACACAATGCCTGGTCCGCCTGCGTACAGACGTGCTAACAATTTGGCATAATACCTCAAATCGAATTGTCGTTTTTGATTTGTTTTAATTTTTTTGTTTTTTTTTTTAATTGTGATTTAAACTGTTGGCCGAGCTGCAGCCAGTGCATCGAGCAAAATGCAAACGCAATATAGTAATTATTAATTGTGCCGCATTCCCAAAACTCAAATCCTTTCAACAAATTCCACAGCTGCCTTTTAACAAAAAACAAATATACGACTAGCTCTGCGGGTAAGCCGAACTTGAACAGTTAATAAATATGTAATAGCTACTGTTAAGCATACCTGTGTGTGTGTGTCTGCAAGTGCCTGTTAGTGCGTGTGCGCGCCTGTGTGAGTGTGTATGCATATGTGGCTTTAAAATATAATTTGAAACATTGAACAGCAGCTGTGTTGTTGTTGCTGCTGCTGCCATGATAAAGAACCAACGGCTGTTTCCCTACGTTGCAAGAACAACAACAACAACAGTACTAATAATTCATCTGCCCTCCCCTCGCTTGCGCACACAGTTCAGCATCAGTCACTGCCAGGGATGCCAACTCAAAATTTGAAAATTACGTAGGTTGGCTCCAAAATCTGTGCGTTTTTCCGTAGCACAATTTTGCTGATATACGTAGATCTACGTACTTTTTTCTTTAAATTTAAAAACAATACAAATAATGAATAAAACAATAAATTTGTAAATTATCTGTCTTTGTACCTCATTGTTATTAATTTCTGTTGACGTTTTAAAAAGAAAATTACATTGTTCAAATTGTTTATACACATTAATGTACGAATTTTACAAAAATTTGTACATATTTTTATTAAAGTATTTCAGGTGGTTGTCAGAAGGCTCTAAGTTTTCCTTTAACCCACTTTTTGTGTGAAGTAAACCTTTTATAGTGTCCGTTTCTAACTTATTTCTATTATTAGTTTCAAATAAATTTATTTCAGAAAATAGTCGCTCAACATTAGCACTGCTATGTGGAAAAATAGGCAAATTTTGAGTAAACCCCTTCAAGATCGGAAACATCTGGGTTAAATTTCCCTTTTTAACATTTGAAATATAACGCCAAAAATCGTCTGGCGGTACCCCTTCCTCATAGTTAAAATATTTTACAATTTTTTTTAAAAGTACGTAGTTGCCCTTTAAAATACGGAGATCTACGTAAAGAGACGGAGGGTTGGCATCCCTGGTCACTGCACACACACACGCACATCTGCAGCAACTGTCACACACACATGCATGCACACGTATACGACTTTTTATCGTGCTCAACCAAAACGAATTCACATTCATCTGCGCATTTTTGTTTTATTCTTTCCCAATTTTCGCTTATTTACTTTGGTTTCTCTGTTGTTGTTGTTGTTGTTGTGGGCTGCAGTTGCTGCAATTAGTTTCATAGCCAGCAGCTTGTGTCGTCGACTCATTGTCATCTTCCGCCGCTGCTGCTGCTACTATTGCTATTGTTGTTATTTCTTCGTTAGCCCCCCGCTCACCGTTTGGGCTGGGCTTTGACCAAACAGCGGCAGCTGAATGATTCATGCACGGTTTTTTTTCATTACTGTTTTTGTTGTTTTTATTAAGACGGAAACAGCTTTTTCCCATATTTTTTGTCTTTGGCCAATGCATTTTAAAGCGCGACTCATTTCAATATAAAAAAGGGGGGAAAACTACAACAATGTAAATGTGTTTCGCTGTTAATTTAATAACCATAATATAATAATATTTTTATAATACTCGCACACACACACACACACATGTATACAAGCGCACATTAACATATATATTTATTATCGCGCTAATCGTTTGCTTTAACCTGTATGCGACTCATGTCGGCTTGGCTTTTCGATTAGTCAGCCGAAAAAGCTGCCGAGCTTTGCTACATTCACATAAATAAATAATGATAAAAGATGAAGAAGGAGAAGAAGACGAAGGGAAAAACAATAAATAAATAAGAAAATGCTGAAACTCTTGATTTTCCCTTGACACAACTGTATATTTTTTATTATGTGATCAATTGCTCAAGTCTTACTTCGAATTCGAATAAATCATATAAGAGAAGTCATAAAATCTACATTAAACAACAAATTTATGACATGAATTTCTTAAAGGAGAAGCAAAGATGGGTGGGCTCAAAAGTAACAAACTATGCACGAGGCGTGTTCAATAAGTATCGCAACTTTTGGAGTTTTCTTTTCCTTCAAAGCAATTCCCATCAGTTACAGGCGACTTGTGTCATACTCAAAAAACTTTCCCACTTTCATTTCTATATGTTTTAATCTTAGCTATATCCAAAGAGATCTTTGTATACCAAAATTTGGCATGCTTAGCTTAGGCAACTTTGCAGTTCGCATAGAACCATTGAGATTTATACAGAGAGCTACAACTCTTCATGCTTTTAAATTACTTAATATCATATATATATATTTATCACATTTAATGTTAATTGACTTTATAAACCATTGATTTATGACCTACTTATGGAGCGACCCTCGGTGCGTGCAAGTGGAACCCTCAAAACTTGTTGCCCACAGCATATGCATATGATTATGCCTTTGGCTGCCATATATACCGACCCCCTTTAAGAGCGAATGTTCTTATATACATTACATACATATGTGTGTATTTATATACATATATATATATATATATATATATATCCATGTTTCTCGTGCATAAATGAGCCAGCTTATCTCTAATATCAGTGGCCCAGCCTTGTGCGAATGGGGGAGTAAGTTGGGGGAAGCATAACCACACACACTCACACACACAAACACAGATTTCAATTTGTGTTTCATATCCAAAGCAATTTTAAAATAAAAATAAGAATGAAGTTCGCACTGGAAATACCCTGTATAAATATGTAAGCGAAGTATAGCAAATATATGATATAGTAAAATCTGTATAAGGTAAAATAAAACTTATATAGACTTCGATTAGGATAGTTCCATTGATAGTTCCTACACAGCTTTTAATATAATATGGCTAATTGTATTTGGCAAAAACATTGCATTATCTCAAGGCAATCTGTGATATTAGTCGTATATATCAGTTGTATCAGATGCAGACAGTCATAAAGATGTTGGTTTAAGGATACGAATCAAATATATATATATATGAGAAATTTAATTTAAACACAGATGTGGATCAATAATATATATAAGATATTTCTGAAGACATATGGGCACATAGATATGCAGCGCAGCAGGCCAAGCAGAAGAAGCAGCAGATTACATACATAGATATAGAACTGTCTTTAGATATAAATCAGGAATAGATGTATATAAGATATACACAAGTATGTTCAATGGTGTTCTTATCGGGGCCTTACGCATACTGTTG